TGCAAACTGTATTTAGCCCAAAAATTAATAATAAAATGAATATATAAAATAGTAGTACAAAATAATAGAAAATGGCGAGCAGGTGTGAACATTGGAAATGAAGCCCCTGCAGTCATGCTTCTGCTCAAATTCAGTTTTATATTCTACTGCCAAACCTAAATATACTTTGACTCTAATTCTTGCTACATTATTATTAATTTATTACAGCCAATTAATCTAAGTTAAAATAATATTATTAATATTAGCCCAGGTCATTAATTAGTTTCATAATTACAGTTAAAGTCATAATGATGGCAAATTTACGTTTCTGCCCCAGTTTATATGAACGATAACTGGGTATACAATATTTTAAGTAACCGGCCAATATGTATTTGTAATGTATTATGAACAATCAAATATAGAATATTCATTTCTCATTTAATTTAATAATGTGGTTCAGAAGCTGCAAATTGGTGGTATATAATATAATAATATTTATATCAAATGATAATAAGAAGAAAACACAAGGGCAGAAGAGTCAGGCTTTTCCAAAATCCATTACAGCTCCCTTCACCGGCAACGCGTGCTTCCATGTCCCACTCTCTCTCTCTCTCTAAATTATTATTAATTAATTATTCTGATTCTAAAATCTGTTTTTAATTTATGTTAGATAAACTAAAAGTTTAAAAATCATATAGCCACAATTATTTTACGTCTAATGCGTTTTTTTTAGTAAATTCAAGTCCCTTACGGTCAACCCTGACTTATGGTCAAATTACGAAAAACCCCTTATTGTTTGGATAATTACAGTCATCCCTCAACTATGTATTATCTTACGAAAAGACCCCTCTAGAGGTTACTTTAGGAATGTTAATTCGGTAAAACCGAACCGAAATTTCAGTACGCCAACATTTCATATCGAACTTAATATACGGTCTGGTTCGGTAAATAACCGAATCACATAAATTTCATGTAAAAATATTTAAAAAAAAGAGGGTTGCTTAATGACCAAAATAAGAGGGATTTTTCGTTATTTGGCCATAATCTCAGGCATGGTCGTAATTTGCCAATACGTGGAGGGCAAAAAGGTAAAATCAGAGAAAGAAAGAAGAGGAAGAATAAGATTTGAT